AAAAAAAAAAAAAAAAAAAAAGATTTGTGAGCTTTGCAGTATAGAAGATATACTTCAATAAGAAGTTGAAAAATAAAGTAAAATATTAAAATTAAATTATAAAAAGATGTAACACACTCAGTCACTACTGTCCTGGCTTGGTAGCCTAGAGTTTGCACACCCAGAGCCAGTTAGGGAAGCTCCCCCACAACACTAAGGCTACTTGACCAAAGTTTTGTTAAACATTCACAGTGCCCTGGGGCATGTTGGAAGACAGCTGCTCAGGATGTCTGGTTGGACTGGGCCCACACACTAGCGTAAATAGGGGATTACAAGGTTTCCTGGACCCTGGGAGCCACAGATGTGGCCTTCTCTTGAAAGCTGGGTAAGGGCTAGATAAGGACAGGGTTCAGAGCAGTGGTTGGGACCATTTGACTCACAGCCTTCCCTCCCTCCCCTCCAAGAAAGAAAGAGCTGCAACTCCCTTTACAATAGTGAAGGGAACTGCCCAAAATCCTTTCCCAGTTCATTCATTCAATAAAACTGTATTGAGCACCTACTATACACCAGCCCTGCTTTAAGTACTAGGAATTCAGGCATGAACAAGACAGAGGGTCAGTGTATACACATGAAGTAGACAATCAATGAGTAAAGAATTAAATAAAAAACATTTCCTGCAAGCTGATTCTGACTCATGGTGACCCCCATGTGTCTCAGAGCAGAGCTGTGCTCCACAGGATTTTCAATGCCTAATTTTTCAGAAGTAGATCACAAGGCCTTTCTTCTGAGGCACTTTGGAGTAGATTGGAACCTCCAACCTTTGAGTTAGCAGCCAAGCACTTAACCATTTGTACCACCCAGGGACTCCAAAAAAATAGAGACAGTAATTTCAGATAAGTGCTGTTTAAAAAAAAAAAAGAGAGAAACAGGATCATGCCATAGAAAGAATAGGGGTGAGGTTTATTTAGACAGGGAAGAGATAGAATGAGATACACTTAGACCTGAATGAAAAAGGACAGCCAGGCCAAGATTTGGGTGCTGGGGTTCCAACAGAGTAAACAACACAAAGACCTTTAAGGTCCAGATGAGTCTGAAGAACAGAAAGTTCTCTTGATCCACAACCTCATCAGAGACCAGAGCCTGCACACAGTGGGGCCCACAGTAGCTCCCCATGGCTGGGTGCCTGGGATGCCCAAGCCCTAGGAAGCCCTGGCTCTGCAGAGCTTCAGGACCCCAATTCCAGCCTGCTCTCCCAAGATCCAAGACAGCACCTCTGCCTCTTCCTCCTACTACTATACTAACCCATCACTACTACTAACCAGCACCAAGGAAACCCAAATCTTCCCTCCAACTGTCTCTGTTCCCAGCAAAATGGAGCTTCATTGCCAGGGGATTTATTTTGTGAGGTATCATTATACATGAAATAGTTCAAGGCTCTGTATAATTGTCAAATGAGAGCTACAACCACAAATACTATAAAAGTCCACTAAGAAGTAGACCTTTGTGAATTGGAATTCACTGGGAATGCTTCGAAGAGGAAGAAAGTTCTAGCTTGACCTAGAGAGATGAGAGAGAGCACTTGAAACGGGGAAAAAGGAAGACTCTCCACAAGGCATAACCACAGAATGAATAAGGCACATTGAGAGGCTGTGAGTAGTCAATCCCAGCAGAATGGAGAGTTGACGTAGAGGAATAGCAGGATCTTCATCTGGAAAGATAGGGTGAAGCCAGATGGTAAATGACCCTAAATGAACTCCAAGGAATTTAGATTTTATCCCATGAGAAAAAGACAGAGTGAGCTGTTGAATATATTTGAGCAAGGGAAGTGATACATTTTAGGAAGAAGAGTCTGGAAGTGATATGAAGATTGGATTGAAGAAACAAGAGCTGGAAGCTGGCAACACTGTATAGGAGG